AGATCTGCGATCAATCGTGGGAAACTCGTGGTCGACCGTGAGCAAAAAAACAACAGAGTTTTGGCTCTGGACAACAGCCGGTCGACCATGGCGGTCGACCGCAAAACTATCTGGACTTCATCCGGTCGACCGCCACGGTCAAAAAAAAGCCATCAAAACACAATCTGAGTCTCTGGCTTCAAGGCGGTCGACCGTGGTGGTCGACCGCAAACTGACACGAGCAAAATACATGTTTGAAACTGTTTTTCTGATTTTAAAACCCTGTTTAAAAATATCAAATAAATTCTAAAAATTATAAAACTTTGGGAAATGATTTTAGATATGATAATAAACATGCTACAAAACACATGAGTTTTGACATTTTAGCTTAACCATGTTTTGAAACATTACAAAATGATTTTGTAGACTTAACAAAATAGGTATATGATTATTGTTAAGTCCAAAAATTGAGAAAATAATATTTTCACACAATTGCATATTTTGCAAACTTTTCAAAACAATAAATATGATTTCATTGAACTAAATAAACTTGATATTGTTGAAATCATATATAAGCATATAAATATGAAGCAAAGGTATTTTTTCCAATTATATTTAATTGTTTCACATTTAAACCTGAAAACTAATGTATGTATATATATAACTATATATATACATAGAAACCAAAAACTAAAATGTATATATGTAGGCTGTCTAAAAATCACAATGGATAGCTAATCCCTATCAAGCCCTGATAATGGAAGTTACAATCAGACGACTTTCTAATCACTGCATCCGCAACTCTGCAACCGCTATAAACAAGGCCTCATCTCTGAGATGATTGATCTTGATGGCTGCGACAACAGCATGACTAATATTATATTAGCAACTATTAGAGATGCTGATGAGCAGTGTAATGATTTCAGAAATAAAAGGTTGGACTTAGTTGGTGAGTCGCTTGGTAGAGAGCTGTGGGCAAATATCCATCTTCAAAACACTATGGATGTTGATTCCCGTCAAGCTCTCACAACGAAAGCTACAATCAAATAGCTTTCGGGTCGACAGTCGGAAAGGGCAAATAGGAGACTTTTCACACAGATCGAGAAGAGTTACAATTTGACGACGCTTCCGACAGCTGATGAAAACCCTATTCAGTGGCCTTCACGATCGTTGGTGAGAGTTACAATCTGACGACTCTCATATCTTATAACAGGCAAAGACCAATAAACAATGGCCTTTGCAATGTCATGGCAGACGATGTTACAAGTCAACAACCTCTATCAAACGTAGAAGTTTAATTCTGCGTTTCTCAAATTCGAAACGCACACAACTTGTGCGTTCTCCAGCGAATGTCTAACTCTGCAACGCAGAGTTCAAGCACCAAACGCACACATAACGTGCGTTCTTCAATAGGTTCAACTACGTGTCCCAAACTCTGGACGCAGAGTTGAGCTTCAACGCACACGGCCTGTGCGTCTCAAATCTCTAACAGAGATTTAACTCTGCATCTCAAGCCTTGGACGCAGAGTTAAAGCCCATAACGCCAACTGAGGCGTTTTGACTTGTTCAAACGCAAGTCGAACGGCCTCAAAACCGTTATCCCACGTTCTGAGGGATTCTCGCCCACAAAGGAGCGGAAATAGGGGTTGGTTGCACTCCACATCACCCTATAAATAACCAACTTACTCAACTGAGTAAGGGGTTGGCGGGTTGATAGGTTGATCAATCGGTTTCTGAGATCAAAACCGCAAAGAGTTGAGGGGAGCTGGTATCAAAACCACCCAAGGTCAACAAATCTCGGCAGTTGAGTAATCGGAAGGAAGAGATCTTCGGGAGATCAAGGAACTGATCAACGATCAGTTAATCAAATCCCGAAGGATCCTTTCATCAAAGGTATCATCCACTTGGCAATTAACCGAATTTTCGGTTCCAACAACTCTGTTACAGAGTTTTAACTCATTCTGAGTTCTTAAACTCGTTAAGAGTTCTTAATTAGCTTGCAACGCAAGTTAATCACATCAAACCAGACATTCGGTTTTCAACAACTCTTATCAGAGTTCTTAACTCACTAGCTTAATAGAATGATAATCAAATAATATAAATTCAAAGCTAGAAATTGAGTTTAGAAAACTTCTCTATAGATAACAAGAGAGAGAGAGAGAGAGAGAGAGAGAGAGATAAATTGAAGCTCAAACACCAATGAATTGATCTCCACTTCCTCTTGTGAAAGTATCTTCACAAACCAAACTTGAAACAAAACTAAACGAAACTTTAAACCCTTGTTAAACCTTGTTTAAAAACTTCTTAGATGGATTATGAGAGATGAGAGCAATGGAGTATATATAGCCACCCAAAACCTCAGCCAAAAACCCTAAGGAATTGTCCAAAACGCCACAGCTTAGGAACTAGCCGTTGGAACCCAACGGTCAGATCTGCGATCAATCGTGGGAAACTCGTGGTCGACCGTGAGCAAAAAAACAACAGAGTTTTGGCTCTGGACAACAGCCGGTCGACCATGGCGGGCGACCGCAAATCGACCGCCACGGTCGACCGCAAGCCATCAAAACACAATCTGAGTCTCTGGCTTCAAGGCGGTCGACCGTGGTGGTCGACCGCAAACTGACACGAGCAAAATACATGTTTGAAACTGTTTTTCTGATTTTAAAACCCTGTTTAAAAATATCAAATAAATTCTAAAAATTATAAAACTTTGGGAAATGATTTTAGATATGATAATAAACATGCTACAAAACACATGAGTTTTGACATTTTAGCTTAACCATGTTTTGAAACATTACAAAATGATTTTGTAGACTTAACAAAATAGGTATATGATTATTGTTAAGTCCAAAAATTGAGAAAATAATATTTTCACACAATTGCATATTTTGCAAACTTTTCAAAACAATAAATATGATTTCATTGAACTAAATAAACTTGATATTGTTGAAATCATATATAAGCATATAAATATGAAGCAAAGGTATTTTTTCCAATTATATTTAATTGTTTCACATTTAAACCTGAAAACTAATGTATGTATATATATAACTATATATATACATAGAAACCAAAAACTAAAATGTATATATGTAGGCTGTCTAAAAATCACAATGGATAGCTAATCCCTATCAAGCCCTGATAATGGAAGTTACAATC